GTGGCTGGGACGCCGGAGAGGGAGGAGGCGAGCGCTGTGCCGAGGACACGCGAGAGGCGCAAGTGGCTGGCCCAGACGGGCGACAGCCACAGACCGACAGGCGCCTGGGTCCAGCCAGAGAGGGGGAGGAGGCGAGCGGCCGGCGCGGGACGGGGAAGTCCCGCGAGTGGCTGGGTCCGACGGGCAGCGGCCTACGACCGACCGCCGCCTGGGTCACGGCGGAGAGGGGAAGGAGGCAGGGGGGGCGGCTACCCGCCCGTTGTATCGCCCTTCGCAACGGGCCTTCCTCCCTAGTATTACAAAAATGCCATAAAATCTCCAGGCTGCTCTCATCTGAAGTATACTGAACTTGATAGCCTGGTCTCTTGAAATGTGTCATCATTCAGGAAAGTGGGAACATATATGCATATAGTTTCTGCATTACGGGAGCACAAATAAAATGTTTTGAGTGTCCAGATTTATTTAGCTGACCTCTGACCCAGTGCGCTAACAGGCCAGCAATCACATGCCTTCAGAAAATAGCCATTGCCTAGATGCGTAATTATGGTACCAACATGCTGTTGAAGATTGAGCCTAAAATTGCAGCAGTGAAGTTGAGTGTGCTCAGCCTGAAAACAATATCTATATGCCTTTTATATTTTGGATGTTCCACAGTGGGTTTCGGTGTTTAATGGCAAATATTCCATGTTCCTAAATGTGAGGAAAAGGAAATATTGATTATGGCAATGACAATTCATTCTAACAAGGTTCTTTTAAATGGATGTTTTAACAACCTATTCTTTCTTTCCAAATTGACAGTGTATATTAATAGATAATTAAATCAATTGACAATCTCATATGTACAAATCTAGTCAATCGGTCAAATGATTATAGGCCACCTAGATGTGTTTTTTTTAAAAATCTTGACATTTCTGTAAATATCATATTCAACACGTGTCTTATCTTGATCCTGCAAACATATTCTGTGTTTGGGGCAGGAATAGCTTTGGTGTAGTGGTTAAGTGTGCGGACTCTAATCTGGGAGAACCGGGTTTGATTCCCCACTCCCCCACTTGCACCTGCTGATGTGACCTTGGGTCAGTCACAAGCTCTGGCACAGCTGTCCTTGAAAAAGAGCAGTTTGTGTCAGAGCTCTCTCAGCCCCACCTACCTCACAGGGTGTCTGTTGTGGGGAGGGGAAGGGAAAGGAGTTTGTAAGCCGCTCTGAGACTCCAAGTGAAGGGC